CAAAATGCTCAGAGAGATCACAGCAGGCCTGAGTGGTTTAGGCACTCTGGATTCCTGTTTGAAATCTCTGGGCTTCTCTTGTAAATCGTGCATCAGTGTTTGCACGCCTAACAGCGCTGACGTGGCGTGGCACCTTTCCGAGGATCTCAGGGCGCCCCTGGGAACTCTAGTTGAGAATCGGTGGTCCGAATACTTGGACTGCGTTCAGGAGCTTTGCTTGCTTCTCATCGTCACGCAACACGAGGCCGAATTCAGCGCCGTGACCCTTGTTTCAACTTAAAGCTCCAGATCTTTGGAGCTATTCTGGGTTTGCAGCGGTGTGACGGAAGAGAATTGGGCTCCGTCTGCCACGTGTGATGAAACCCTGCTCAATGCTGAGTTGAACCTTGATGTTCTCGCTGTGCTTCGTCTTCCTCGGGTCATGCAAAGACTGGCGTTTTTGCTGGAAATCCAGGCTCTTGCCGTTCACAACTAGTCCGCCGAGGCCTTTCCTAGCGTTTTCTTTGCAGATCTGCTGTGGTCTGAAATGATCTCTGTTCCACTCAATTGGTGCTGATTTCCCATAACTTATTTTCAAAATGTCTTAACTCTGTTCCTGTTGTGACCTGAGGATTTCAACAGTTTCTTTTAAATGCAGAGTAATTCAGTTCTGCTGAATATTTGAATTCAACACAACGAGGGGGAGAGAAAACAAGAAGCAAAACACGGTCTCCGGTGACCAGGGTTTATTTCGGAAGCAGTCCCACAGCAAACTGGAGCAATGTGTCTTAATAATGGGCAGGGTGTCGATGGGATTTTTTTTCCAGGTTCCTCATTCAGGGCGATTTGATTAATGAGAGAGAGTGGTATTACCAGGAGGCAGTGCAACCCGGTTTATAATCGTAAATACATCTGCAAAGCGACTCAGTTGGTTTAAAATACTAGGTGAGCAAATTCTTCTGCAAGAGATAAAGCAGTTGCTGAGCTCGGGATGCAGGAATAGCTGTGTCTTGGTGACCATGTGTAGTGCTGGAAACCCCGGTGCCTTTTGCCCCTGCCGGGCAAAGTGGAAGGGAATTAGCTTCATTGGTTCAGTTTTTGCCACTGTTGATAGGCTTGAAAGTGTCCTAATGTCCATGGCAGCTTCACGCCTTGAGAGCCACCGCATTTGGTGGCAGCTCCCAGGTGGAAGTTGGGCTTGTGACTGAGGTGCTAGCTGGGGGTTCGAGAGGTCTGGGCAGTGCTGCTGACCGCCTGCCTGACCCTGAGTGGGTTTTAGGTGCTGAGATCAGTCAGGCCCTTGGGGCACTTGTACACGTCACGGCGTTTGTGGCACTTGTGGAAATCTCATTTGGGGTGTGAAGCTTCAGGCACCTCCACCCCTTTAAAAAATTGCCCCATGGTATGTCTGTGCTGCTGTTCCCCACTTTCACCTGGGGAATGAAAGCACCGAGTCCCCTCGCAGGGATGCTGGGAGGATGCATTCACGACTGCTGCCACGGTCCTGGGGGGCACAAACCCAGCGTGGAGCTCCTGGCGCGTGGGATGGCGAAGCGGAAGCTGCAGAAGCTCAGCGGATGGGGCTGCCTCTTGTCATCTCCCCCCTTCTTCCCCACGCAGGTCATGCTCGCGGAGAGGAAGGGCACAGACGAGCTCTATGCCGTTAAGATCCTGAAGAAGGACGTCATTATACAGGACGACGACGTGGAGTGCACCATGGTGGAGAAGCGCGTGCTAGCGCTGTCCGGGAAGCCTCCCTTCCTAACGCAGCTCCACTCCTGCTTTCAAACAATGGTAAGTGCGTGGCGGCGCTCCCGTCGCCACGGGCTTGTGCAAACCGCTTCTCTGAGCGGCATCGCTTGATTAATGACCTTGTTTCGCACGCCAGGCTAAGAACCAGACGGGGAGTGCCCGCCTGGTCAAGGCTGCAATGGAGATTGGAAGTGTTGCCAGTCTTGGGGAAGGGGCTCTGTCTAACCAATCCAGATAGGAAATGAGACTTCCTTCCTGCCACTATCCCATCCTCCCTGGCCCCCATGATCAGAGCACACCACACACTTAGAATAATAGAAAGTTAGGGCTGGAAGGGACCTCAGGAAGTCGCATCCAGTCCACCCCCCTGCTCCAAGCAGAACCAGCCCCAACTGCATCATCCCAGCCAAGGCTTGGTCTGCCCAGCTCTTGAACGCCCCCAAGGATGCAGACTGCACCACCTCTCTGGGTCACCTGTCCCAGTGCTTCACCCTCCTAGCGAGAAAGCTCTTCCTAATATCTAACCTAAACTTCCCTTGCTGCAACTGGAGCCCATTGCTTCCCCTCTACCTCGGGGAGGGGCTGACACATTGCAGGGGGCTCTGGAAATGCCTGCTCAGACACTGCCCAATTCGCATGCAAAAATGGAGGCAGGAAGGAAAACATTGGCTTTGTGCATGCTTAAAAATGGAGGCTGGGGTGGAAAGAAGCCAGACCTCTTGAAGTCTTATCATCGGCCAACCTTTGGCTGAATTGGATCCAGCTGCTTAGGAAAGACCCTTTGCTAGGAGCTGAGTTATAACCCAGAGAGCAGAATGGAATTGTTTCCCCCCCCGTAAGAGGCGCTGCGGGGAATGACAAGGCCGAGCTGGTGGTGAATCCTAATAAGTCCAGGAAACGCAGCCTGCAACGGGCATGCTATTAAACTTGTGCAAATCAGAACTGGGGGGAGAAGCTTCTTTAAAGCAATCTCTGGCCAGATGCTGAGCAACACATCAACAAAAATGCCCAGGTACTTGTCAGCCGGAGCAGGGAGCAGTAATCGGCAGAGTCCTTTAGACAGGCAACAATGCAGCCTAGGAGGATTACATTTTAATAGTATCCCAGCAATTTGATTTACCAACCATTCAGAGTATTGAAAGTGTGTGGACCAGCTTTGCAGTACCGTAATCAAAATACGGCAGGGGAAGCTATTTCACTCACCATCTTTGTGACATCTGAAGTGAGTCAGTGCAGGATTATTTCTAGGAGACCTACAGTAGCTTAATAGTAATCATATTTGTAATGTAATCAAAATGTGTAGCCGAGTGTATTATCAAATGCAAGCACAAAGCACTTTGATTTCTGAGAGCACTGTCTAGAGCGCGGTTCCCAGCCTGGGCTGTTAGTGCAGTCGGCCAAATCCACATCTTAAAGAATGAGGAGAGGTGAATGAATAAGAACGGCTGGTCAAGCCTATAGGAGAAGTCCCCGAGCCTCACACCCTTGCCTGTCAGGAGCTCGTGGACTGGAAGAAATGAGTCTGAGTCACAGCATCATTATATAGCAGGAGGTAGGATCACAGGATTACTGAAAATGAAGGTTGAAGGGAGCTCAGGAGGTCACATCGAGTCCAACCCCCTGCTCCAAGCAGGACCAGCCCAACTACATCATCCCAGCCAAGGCTTTGTCTACCCGGGTCTTCAAAACCTCCAAGGGTGGAGATTTCACCACCTCTGGATGACCTGTTCCAGTGCTTCACCACCCTCCTAGTGAGAGAGTTTTTCCTAATATCCAACCTCAACTTCCCTTGCTGTAGCTTGAGCCCATTGCTCCTTGTCCTTGTGGCGGGCCAGTAGGGGGAGCTCCTGCGTTGAGCCTCCCACCTCACTATGCCCGTCCGCCTTCCGGACTCCACGTGTCCCTCCAGGGGTGCCTAAGCCCTAGCAGACCCCCTTTCGAGCCCCACTGCAGAGTCTGTGGGTAACGTGTGCTGCCACCACCCCGAGAAGGGACTGTCTGGGGCCTGCGTCCTCGGGGAAACACAGGCCTAATAGTCCTATGGGTACTCGACCCAATACAAGAACTTGGGGCACTTCCCCAAGTCGGGGGCCAAAAAGGATAGTCTCCCTTAGTCCGCAGACCCAAGGGGCCTCCTGGGCATAATTGAACCCACCCCTCAATAAGTCTCCCACACTAGGTACAAAGGAGAACTTTATTGGTTGCAGAGGGCAGGGTTAGAACAGGGTCCAGGGTAGAGCAATATCAGAGAAATCCCATAGCGCAAACGCCTATGGCTGGGTAGCCTTTGATCTCGCATCTGAGCTATTGCAAGCTGTATATCTAGGTGGGTCTCAGGTAGGTTACCCACAAGTATCATCCAGAGGCAGTCGGAGATCCCCTCCGGAGGCAGGCAGTTCCCTGATCATGAGTTTTGAGAGAGAGAGCCAGTTTCAGATGGTCCAGCTCTTCTTTGTTCCTGAGTATCCCTCATGGCTGCTGCCCCCCTCCTCCCCTGTAGTCCTTAACTTACATAGCCCTTGTGACCTCATTTACCTGGTCCAATGGAGGCCAGCACCTGTTGGCTGTGAGCCAACCAATTTGAATACATCACTAGTTGCTGGGCAGACTCTAGCCCACCAGGAAGGAAGCCCCTCACCCAGGTATGTGATGCCAGTCACGTGGGCAGAGGGAGCAGGTTTCCCCCCTCCCTCAGGAGTGTATCCAGCTCAGGTTACCCAAAGAGACAGGGTAAGGATATGTCCTGTGCTGGGCCCATCCTAATCACAACTGTCACCGAGCAGAGTTTTTGGGGGAGAAGCAAAGGTAGCTTTCTGCCACAGGACAGGTCCTCTGCCCCCACTGAGAACAACCCGGCTCCATCCTCTTTGCAGCCCCCCTGCTATCGAATCCCCCTTGGTCTTCTCTTCTGCAGACTAAATCAGCCCATTTCCCTCCGCCTCTCCTCACAGTCCTGTCCCGCAGCCCCACAGCCATTTTCATTGCCCTCCGCCGGACTCTCTCCAGCTCATCCACATCCTTCCTAGAGCGCAGCTAGGAGATGGGGCCTGGCGGGTGTCCTGCCTTTCCTTCCAGCTGCACTGCGGAGCAAAGCAGGATGAATTCGAACTCAGCAGCTGATCTGCAGAACGAAGAGCTCGTGGGCCCAAACGCTTCCACCTTCTCCACCTGGGTTGTAGGACACGAGGGAGGGGGGCTGCTTCTCTTGGGGTGACTGAGCCCAAGCAGACACCCCGGGAGCACGCCGGCTTCCAGCAAGTTCGTTTTCCCGGCGCTTATGCAATCCTGGTGCTTTTTTCTTTTTCCAAAGATAGGAACCAGGGTGGCGTTTCATCGCTGGGTGTGCATCCGCCCGCCTGCAGCCAGACGAACCATCTGGCTGCTTTTATTCATAAAACAACTTCTTTTTAAGCACAAACGCGCTGTCTTGCTCTAGACGGAGGGAAGCTCAAGCCCTGGTTGTATGACAGTAGCCATCTCCTTAATAGTCTTCTCCCTTGACATTGATTGATGTGTTTAGGAAACAGATGCAAACAAGCTGAATGCTGTTTTGCTTCTGAGTTATTACCGTGAGGGAATTAGTGCGATTGGGATTTGTGGAAACAACTGTCCCCTTGCCTGGTGCGGAGCTGGATCGTGAGCGGAGAAGCGGCTTCGCTGATAATACTGAGCGCGGCGTTTCCTGGCCAGCTTCATTGCAGACCCGCTCTGTCCCAGATTCCCCCGGGCAAATCAGCAGCTTTCCATGAGACTCCAGCAAAGAGCGCCCCGTGCTTTGAAGGGAGCTGGCGTGTCTGTCTGGCCACCCTGCACCGTGCGGATCCAGACATCGTTGGCACTGCGTGGCAGGGGCCAGCGATTGCAATTAAGCACTTACAATATATGATGACAGACCTGGGGCATTTTGCAGAGGCACAAATGGCCCTGCTGTGCCGCTGACAATCGAGTCCCCAGCCTGCGGCTTGGCTGAATGACATGCTCTGGTCATGACGCAGCTGCTGTTGATTTTCATCTTGTTCTCTAGGATCGCTTGTATTTTGTGATGGAGTACGTGAACGGCGGCGACTTGATGTACCAGATTCAGCAAGTCGGGAGGTTTAAAGAGCCGCACGCTGTGTGAGTCCCGTGTGAGCGTTTGTGCTTTGGGGGAGGCGCTGCATGCTTCGGAGTAGCGCAGCCGGGAGTCTGGGCAGCAGGAGAGGAGGGACATGCCTCGGGGTGGGGAGCTCAGGGATGTCGACCAAGGGTGCATTCAGCGGTGTTGGCTCTGCTCACTCTTCTGAACTGTGCATCACCATTTATTTCACCAGATGCATAATAAATTAAAAGCCTCAAAGGATATTAGCTGGCTTGGGACCACCCACCTGTGCAAGGGGAGCCACATCCCTGTGTCACGACCCCCCAAAGCACACAGCTGGTCCAAGACGACATGCAGCTTTGCATGCAGTATCCCACCCGGTCCTGGTAACGAACTGCCAGAGATTGTGTCTCTGTGTTTTTAATGAGAATCTGTGTAATCAGAAGTGAAAGCCACACACTAGCCCGCAGCAACCCAATCGTATTATTATGACCCCTGTGGGGCACGCGCCAAGTTATGTCACCGCCGTGTGATCCTCGTCCAGTATTTTCACAGCGCGATTGTCTTGATCCTTCAGTGCCGCGCACCCAGCATGCTCCATCCTGTGTAATTAGATTGGAAGGCTTTTCATTTTAATTTATCTGCATTAATTATCTGCATCTTCCTGTTAAATCTTTCATTTCAGATTCTATGCAGCTGAAATTGCCATTGGCCTCTTCTTCCTGCAAAGCAAAGGCATCATTTATCGGTAGGTGAGCATGTTTCTCCATCTCTTTCCCCTCTCGAACGAACTTCCGAACACACTGGGCTCTGCTTTTTGTGCTGATTTGCAGCTGGTGCTTCAGGCTCGAGGATGCAGCGGCCTCGCATTCAGCCTTCTTCAAGGGCCGTCCCCCGTCCCCGTGTCACGGCTCCCAGCTTGGCAGTGCTGAATATATCTGCCATGAATGGCGCTTGGTGGCCTGTTAATGTCACTGGCTTACGAGCAAGTGTTCGCCTTTAGGTTTTGTGGGGAAGAGAGCTCATAAAAGTAGCTTTGATGCTTCTCCTGCCACACTTGCACACTCGCTCTCTCACGTTTCTCTTTGCACATCATAAATCATGGCCAGCAGGGTGGATTGATTGAGATGTGGGCTTTACATTAAGGCATTACTTTCTCATTATTGAGGCTTAAATGAAGTGCTTATGAGTGGCTTGTCCCGAGTCTGCTCGTATAAACCTGATGCTTGCTGTTCAGAGGCCTGTGCTTCGTTGCATCGGGCAGCGTGCCTTGCACCATCGCCGGCACCTAGTAGCTGGGTGGTTTCCCAGGCTGGAGTCCCCACAAGGTCCAAGGAGGGCAAGAGCCCCCGTAAGCACTGCCAGCTGCCACTAACGGCCCGGGGAAACCAAATGCCAGCTCCGCACGGACGCACTGAGGAGCTACTGCAACTCTGCTCCAAAGACCAAAGAAGTGGGGGGCCCCTGACGCTTGCCCCTTGGGGTCCTTTCTCCCTCTCTGCAATTACACGTTGCCTTGCACATGTCTGTCCGTGGCCTATCTGTGTGCTCAGCTCTGCCGCTATATTTAGAACAAAGAGAAAATAAAAAATAACAAAGAGGAAGAAACTTAAAAAGCAAGAGGTTGCAAATTCCCTGCGTTTTCACGTTGTTGAGCAAAGATTTGTTTAGCTGGAACGGAGGGCGTCTTCCTTCCCGGGCTGGTTTTGCAGATCAAGGGATCTTGGTTCCAAGAGGAGCTAAATATCATTGTCCTGTGAAACGGGCCCTTTCCCAAATACTGTGCGCCCCGAGGCTGCAGGCTTAGCCCACTCCTGTGCCGGTGACCCCCAACAATTTGGTGCTGGACCCGCGAGACGGTGCCGTGACTTGTCCGTGCCCTTCAGAGCAGAGCAGGGCAGGGCTGTGTGGTTTCCTCTAGTCTGGAGAGGGCAGAGGGTGGTGGAGCGCATGAAGAGCGGGGTGGGATGAAGGCCAGCTGGGTGAGGAGCGCTGAATATTTAGGGGGTGTTTCCCAGCCTCTTGCAACGGACTTCTCCATTGCCCCCAATTAGAGAAAAATCCTGGTCGTTTGCTTTGGAACAAAGTCAGGGTGTGAAAAGGGCAAGCCCGGGAATGACCTTTAATGAGCAAGCAAACCACCCTCCAAATGCTCCTTTATCGGGGCTCGGCTGCCTTGCTGCACGCTGCGGTGGGCTGGAGGCTCTCGGGGAGACCTCGGGTGCCCTGAATCACCGAGGCCCTGTTAAAGTCCATGGAGCTGCACTTATTTATGCTAGCTGGGGATCTGGCCCTGTCTGCAGAGGGGACGGTGTGAATATTGCTGCAATGCCCGGTTCGTGTCTTGGCCCATTGGCTTGTCAAAGAGATTGGTGGCCCCTCCGTGCCCGTGGCGGTTGATGGCAATCGGCTCAGAGTTCACGGTTTATACCCTGACCACAGGCCGCTCCGTCTCCTGTCTGGTGGCCTCGCCCTCGCTATCGGGCAGTGTCTCGGCGCACGCACCATTTCCCAAACTGGAGCGCTCGGAGCATTGCTTCGTTGCACAGAGCATAAATAAGCCCGGAGCAATGCAGACCGCTTAAGTGCTCGGTAATTACGTGGGAGACGATCAGCTATAACTGAAGCACTGAGCACGTCCCAGCCGGTTCCCCATAACTCACTGGCCAGGACAAGAGCCTGACCCAGGGCTCTCGACAGCAGAAGCCACGTGGTTTTGTAGCTCGAGTTAAGCAGCCCAGCGCTTGGGCCAAGAGCTGGAGCAGACTGTGTCTCGTGTGGGTCGGGATCAGGACGGTGCTGGCTGAGCTGACTTCAGGAAGAGGCGTAGATAAGGCAAGAAGCTTTTCCAGCTCGGAGCGTACCTTATGATTGCTTGCAAACTTGCAAAACTCTTTGAGGTGCATGGAAGCTAGAGAAGAAAAATGATCTATTCAATCAGTGTCCTAGCCAGCACAGGTTTTTCTTTAATGAGTAGTTCCTGGTACTTTGTCCAGCCTGGTATTCATGCAGAATGAACGTTTTTCAAATAAAGCAATCTTGGCTGGCATGCTTCTGATTTCCTTCCTCCCCGTTGTTCCCAGAGCAGCTTTTTATGTTGAGCGCGTGGCGGGGGGTACCCGGGAGAGAGAGGAAATGAGGGACCTTTTGCATGAAGGGACTTGGCTTCCAGATGCCTGTCAGCTTTGCATACGACCTCGCGCCATTTATGCTCTCGTGTGTAACGGTTGTCTTCCCCTCCCGCTGCAGAGACCTAAAGCTCGACAACGTGATGCTGGATAGCGAAGGGCACATAAAGATCGCCGACTTCGGCATGTGCAAGGAGAACATCTGGGACGGGGTGACCACCAAGACGTTTTGTGGCACGCCTGACTACATCGCCCCCGAGGTGAGCCAGCGAGACGCAGCACGACTTCAGATTGCGGGCGCGGGAGGGGTTCGAGGTTTTGGAAAATAAAAATACCCCCTGGGAACGTGTGCTGGCTTCTGCCCTCCTGCTTTGGAGAAGCACAAGTGGAGGAAATACAGTGGCTGGGGTGCACTTCTTTTTTTCCTCTTGCAGTGGGTGTGAGGATTGAGTTGCCTTTGCCAGAGGCCCTCAAATGATTATTGTCAGCTGGCTGACCACGCCGGCAGCCAGATTGATCTAAATCAGAAAGGAGAGAGGTCTTCTCAGGACGTGGAGGACACTTGCAAAGCACAACGAGAGCTAGAGCTAGCTGGAAATCTCCTCTCAGCTCCAGCAGGAAATGCAGTTTCTGCAACATCGAGCCTAAAAATGTTCAGCCCTGGCTCTCGTGCTGGGGACAGGGGCACCACGCTGCCTAGAGGTGCCATCTGGTGCTCTCTGCCAAGGTGGTACCTTGGAGACTAACTGGGTCAGAGGCAGGAGCTCCTTGCACAGGATGACTCCAGTGGGAGCGGGTGGGCAGAGTGCCATTCGTACTGGTCTTGACTGGCAAACCAGTTGCCTCGGGTAGATGGAGCCTCAACCCTGTTTGTAACGTCTGCTTTTGGGTAGGATTGGAGAAGGGAGGATTGTGGAAACCAGAATGACCAGGAAATAATCTTCCCCCATTGAAGTAAAATCCTCAGGTGTCCCCCGCCGCGTTACAGCGAGAGCCGGCAGCCGTGCGTTGAACGATCGCCCTCTCCGTTCGTGCCGAACTGTTCAACGTCTTAAGCCGGGTGTCAGCGTATTATTTTAACGACTGATGGAGTCGTGTATGACAAATGGTGCTAAAAGCGCTGTAGGGGCGCATTTTAATAATTTATTCGGGATAGCCAGTGTTGCGTTTGATCCTAAGTACCTGTCCTCCCTGCAAAAAACACAAACATCAAATCTTCTTGCATTTTGCTGAACGTTCAGTTCGGCGATGAAATATTAATATCTATCCATTTAAATATTTTAGGGAAATAAATCTACTTCGTGGATGTGTCAAATTATGCCCCGGGATTCGAAACAGCGTTGTGTTTCATTACAGCCAGGGAGAGGTTTAATTACTAGTCTAAATGCATGTTACGCAGCCTCGTTCTACCGAGATTAATTCTAGTGTCCTGTTGGCACGTAGCTGTGTTGCTGCATGTGATAAATACTCTTTCAAAGCAGGACAAATGACCGGTTCCCTTGGTATTCTGCTGAGCATTAGTACTTTAAACCCTTATTTTCTTCTGTTTGCTCTAATTTTTGTTTCCTCCAATAGAAAAGCAAAGAATGGAGGAATTAGGATGCAAATGACTAATGGCTTTGGGGATAATTCTAATAGCTAGGCTGTTATTTAGTGCTTATGTACCTGTAGGCTCAAAGGAGGTAAGTAGCATCGAATCCTAGAAAATTTGGGTTGGACGGGAGTTCAAGAGGTCACATGTGGTCCACCCCCCTGCTCCAAGCAGGACCAGCCCCAACTACATCATCCCAGCCAGGGCTTTGTCCACCCGGGTCTTCAACACCTCCAAGGATGGAGACTCCCCCACCTCTCTGGGTAACCTGTTCCCATGCTTTAACTAATCTTCCAGTAAGAAAGTTTTTCCTAACATCCAACCTCAACTCCCCTCGCTGCAACGTGAGCCCATTGCTCCTTGTCCTGCCGTCTGCCCCCGCTGAGAACGGTCCGGCTCCAATCGGCCGACACCTGTTTTATAAACGGAGAAATCCTGTTCACAGACCTGGTTATGAGAACAGGTGAAAGCCCAGATTGCAGCCCCGGGTGCTCCCCATTGACTTGCTCAGCAGCAGCACATCTTCGAGTTAAAAAGATCCTGCGCCTCGTCCAACCCATTGGCTCAGACTTTGTCTTTTTGAAGTTTCCCATCCCTGAGGTTTAAAGCAGCTTGGAAGTGGCCTTCGATTTAACGAAGGCTGAAAGCCCCTCCTTGGCAGTAATAGATGATGGGACGAGTCCACGTCGGACTGTGCGGCAGGTCGCAGCGGTGCCTCCTGAGCTGCTCTGATGGGTCCCTTCTCCAAACTCTCCAGATATGAGAACTGCTCCACTCAGCGTGGCTGTTGCCATCCCGGCTGCGGCCAACACCTGTTTGCCTTTCCGACGATTAAAGAAGTCATTTGAAATGCTCTTATTTAATGCAGACGTGCAGCTTTCTCGTGGCATGGAAGAGGACCAGAGCGCCGGGTGGGCACGGGTGGAAGAGCCAGAGCCTCGGCCACAGACCGGGGAGGAGGGAATAGAGAAATAAAGCCTCACGCATCGCTGTCTGTATGGTTTCCTGCGATTAGCATGTGATTTGCATGCATATTTGAATCTTTTTGGAGTCGGATTCTGTGCTTAGGATGAATAAATTGTGTAATTGTTTTGCGGTGAGTGACAGATGGCAAACCCTAAGGCCCGTCGAGGTCTCCGAGGCCTGTCAGCAGCAGCTAAGCAAATAAACCAGGGCTTGAAGGAACACTTCCAAACAGGCTCCTCTCCCAGAGCCGCCCGTCGGGTCCCTTTGATTCGGAGCCTCGCTGCTGCAAGCCTTCCTCGGCTCTGGCGGTGTCTAGCGACGGCTGCGTGCGCTTGTTTGTTTTATTTCCATTCGAATTTCCTGCCTCCCGCCCAAACCTCCTGCCTTCGCTTGCATCATTTGTACTAAAGAGCAGTCGCCGACGGGTGTGAGAAGGGGAAAGGAGCCAGTGCCAGAGGTTTGTACACGCGGAGGCGCCCGGGAGGCACGATCCCATTCAGACTCAGACGGCGCTGGCCGGGCTGGTGGAATAGCTCAGCGTGGCTCTCCTTTGCTCCCCAGAGGCCTGGCTGCTGCAACCGTTTCCTTCGTTCAGTAGCACGGCAATTTAGAGAGCTCATGCTAGCAGCACGGGTTGGTGGGGACCACCGTCCCTGAGCTCTTGCAGGGTTTGCCATTAGGAAAAAGGTCCTACCGTGATTTTCGTTTGATACCAGTGCAAACACGAAGGCCGTGTCATTGCAAACAACAATGCACCGCACCAAAAACAAAAAAAGCCGCAGTCTTTTTTGGGCAGTCTTGCAAATAGCCTCACGGGCACTCCCAAATGGTCAGCTGGTCAGTAGAGAAAGTGATGCAGAGCAGGTGCGCTGTCCTGTCCCCCTGAAATTGGAGACATTTTCATGAAATGAAAGTGGGGTCTAATGTCCCATGTGCTACGGTTCATACTTCCCGGTGCTCTGGACAGCCTGTTTAACGGTACAGCTCTCCTGCATGCGAGCGGACAGGCAAACTCTATCAAAGCAGCTCTACTGGTTTGTAGTGGACTTATTTAACTGTTCCCCAGTTTAACGGAGAGCAGGATGCCATCCATTTCCAAATGAAGATGACGGTTTGTTGTGTCGCATTTGTGGCGATGAATCTAAAAGACGGGGAGGGAGAGGTGGGCTCCATTTTTGTCCAAATCCGATCATGTTGACTGATGATGTTCCTGTCCTCTCCTGCCCCGTACTGATTTCCAAGCAGGGGCTCAGTTCATCTGGTTTGTTAGAGCTGAGCCTTAAAGCAGACCATATTTTAGGTTTGTTCTGTATTAGTAAAGGTTAGCTGCAAAACCGAAGTGAACGGTCTCTTTTCCCCCCTAATGCTAACCTAGCCCGTGTCCTATAAGGGCAAGACAGTGCCCTGGCCTTCCAAGGGGTTGAACCCGTCCCGGTCGTGCATGTTTCCAGGACAGCTGAAACGGCTCATCCATCGCTTCTGAAAAATCAGGTCACCGTTTCCACGTCCTTCTGACCTGGGCTGAGGCTTGGCGTCGTTTTGCCTTGTGCCAGCTGGCTTCAAACGGAAGTGTAATCCCGCTGTTTCTCTGTTGTTTGCAGATAATTGCTTATCAGCCCTATGGAAAGTCGGTGGACTGGTGGGCATTTGGCGTTCTGCTCTACGAGATGCTAGCCGGCCAGGTAATTGCATTGTAATTGGTTCCCGTGGGACTGTGCTAAATGCCGTTTTGAGCAGCTGTTCACGTGTCATTTATTTTTGACCTGGCCAGCCATGGGGTGCCGTGTTCTTCATGCCAGGCTGGAGCGCACGAGCCGGTCTACCCCCGAGACCGAATCCCCCGGCTGCAGTTCAGGGAGGGATGAGCCACTAAGGAAAGAGACAGCACGGGCCTGGACGCGCGTGCAAGCGAGCAAGAGTGTCCCCACTGTTGCGTTGCTCCGAGGAGGAAAAAGACGTGCCGCTACACTCCCGTTGTGTTCTCTCCTCCTCCACAGGCTCCTTTTGAAGGCGAAGATGAGGACGAGCTCTTCCAGTCCATCATGGAGCACAACGTAGCCTATCCCAAATCCATGTCCAAAGAGGCTGTGGCGATTTGCAAAGGGGTAAGGCCTGACCCCCGTTTTTCGGGTGGGAGGAGGTGTCTATGGCGTGGTTGCACTGCACTGCACTGCCTGCCTGGGTTTACATGGGCAGTTCCCCTGCTGTTGCAAAAACACATTGCAAAAAAAACAACCACCCCAAACCAGATGCAAAACACATTGCAAAAAAAAAATCAACCCTTAACCAGGTGCAAAACACATTGCAAAAAATACCCCAACCCCAAACCAGGTGCAATGGCTTGTTTCTGTTGCCAGCACCACTGCACAGGTTTTGGGGATGAGTGAGCTCCGTGCTTGGACCTGCAATAGGCAGACAACGGGGGGTCTCACGGCCCTCTCTGACCACGATGTCTGCCGGGTCACGAGTGCTGTGAAACTGCGCGTGCTCGGCGGGTTCCCAGCTCAGGCCATGGCGTTGTGGGTCTCTGGAGATCGGCCCCCTGAGCTGTCCCTGTGGAGACCTCTGATATGCAATAAAACGGTGGCACTAACATCTGTTCGTCGGAGCGGAGAGCGGCGCTCGCTGTTGCGGCAGGTCGGGTTTTCCCTCCCATGCCCGACTGTCGCTGCTCCTGTCCTGACCAGCCCCGTTGCTGCTGCTTCCCGTGCCAGGTCCCTTGCTACTGACGGGTGGTTTTGGCAAAAGAATTCGAGGTCAAACACCGACCTGTGTCTGAGCAGTTTATTAATGGCTAAAAGGCGTTTGGGAGCAGGATCAAGCTCTTTTTCTTCACTGATCTCTTTGTGGCAGCGTCGAGGGGGCTGACCTGGCAGCAGCAGAGGTAGGAGCATGCCAGTCTCGAGGAGCCTGCGGGGCTGGGGCTGCTCGCCTCCGACGCAGGCTCCTTGCTTTGCGCTTTGCAGCGACAGCAAGGGCAGCCCGTGCATCCGTGAAGGAAAAGCAACACGCCATCAGGTCCCAAGGGGCCTGGAGAGGTTAATGGCATTTCTGCCCGTGTGTCGGTGGAAGCCCGTCTTGGAAGGCTTCGCTTTAGGCCCTGCAACTGTTGACGCCATGCAGACAGGGTGGGTACCGAGCCGGTGCCCACCTCTCAAAGGGGCAAGCTCCCAGCCAGGCAGCAAAGGCAGATAGTGTCTGCATGGAGCTTTATGGCCAGGGCCCAAATCTCCCTCGTCAGCCAGAAGGCAGCGAGACTGGTTTATGCTGGGAGGACTCGAAAAGTGGTTTTTGCTTTGAATTATTCAGACATTAGAAATCAGGCCTGGGCTGAATGGCAGCTAGCATCGCCGTCGCATTATGAGACACGGCGGCAGCATCCCAGCCCTGCTTTCAAGTCAGCGGCTTGCATCGCTAGCGGCGCGCTTGCTGGTGTGGGTGGGGGAGAGGGATGTTGCTGAGGCAGGCATCCCAGGGCT